GGGAACCGTTTACAAGGATGTACATATAACCTCCTCCCTGGGGCATGGACTACAGAAAAATGGGTGAAGGGAGATGTCAGACAGTGTAAGATAAGACAAATAATAATTTATAAATTATAAGGGTTCATGGGGGATGGGAGAGCGGGGAGGGAGGGGGAAAATGAGCTGATACGAAGGGCTCAAGCAGAGGGCAAATGTTTTGAGAATGATGATGGCAACAAATGTACAAATGTGCTTGACACAGTGGATGTAGGTATGGATTGTGATAGAGTTGTACGAGCCCCCAATAAAATTATTTTTTGAAAAAAAGAGACCCATATCTTCAGAAACCATTTGTAAGTTTACTATGAATTAAAATCAACTCTATGGTGGTAGGTGTGGTTTTATAGTGGGGTAAGGAATATATGTAAATATAAGTATTACAAAATACATATGCACACAGATACCACTTGACTGACACATAAGTACTTTATAAATTATTTTAAAACATGGAAGAATTTAGACTTGATAAAGTATATAGCACGTAGCCACTTTAGATTTTTTAAACAGTTTTATTGGTGTATAATTCACATATAATCTAATCTAATACTTTAATCATAATTTTTAAAGTTGTACAATCATAATTTTTAAAGTTGTACAATCCAATATTAGAACATTTTCTTTCTTGTACTTATTGCTATTAGCTTCTCATTTGTCCCCAACCTTCCTTGGCCCACCCCCAGAAACTATTAATCCATTTACTGTCTCCAAGAGTTACTTATCCAGCATTTCATATGTACGAAAAAATACAACATCAATAACAAAGTGAAACAGATAAAAACCTCAATTGAAAACAAACCAGAAAAGATTAAAAACCAGAAAAATTTCAAAACCGGTCAAAGGGGTGATCAAATGATAAGGTGTTACATTTTAACCTAACAGCATCTGCAGTAATCCACTTTCCATTGCACTATCTCTGCCTGATAGCAAGACTATTCACATCCCTTGATTATGGTCAGAGGGGATTCACCAGAGGCTTAATCCATGTGGGGACCCTACAAATGGATTTGGGATTCCACTGTCACCCACAGCCTTATGTAGACCAGGTTTTTACATTACCTCCTTTGGAATTGGATTTTATTATTTATAATCCTTAGATCACACAGGCTGGTGTGTTTCTTCCATGTGGAATTAGTTGATGCCTCATTTAGATTGTTGATTGAAGACAAGCTGTTAACATTTTTGATTCTTGACTAAATCTAATAGAATCTTAGAATTAAGTCATTACCTAGTCTAGCCTTTTTTTTTAAAGATAATTTTATTGGGGGCTCTTATAATTCTTGTTACAATCCATACATCAATTGTATCTGACATATTAGTATATATATTCCATCGTTCTTTTCTAGACATTTACTTTCCATTGAGCTCTTGGAATCAGCTCCTTTTTGCCCCTCCTCCCACCCCCCTCACCCAACCCTCATGGCCCCTTGATAGATTATAGATTGTTAATTATTTTCAAATCTCACACTGACCGCTGTCTCCCTTCCCCTCTGGTCTCTTGTTCTTCCCCCTGGAGGGGTGTGTGTGATTATGTGCCATTCATTGTGATCTGTGCCCACCTCCTTCCTCACCTCTACCCCTCTTCCCTCTATGCTTTTGGTATCTCTCTTCCCATTCTTGTTCCTGGGTTCCATGTGTTGTGCGTTTTTTCTTTTGCCTATACCTATGTACATGCTCCCATCTAGTCCAGAGTGGTAAGCAGCACTGGGGTCATGATAGTGGGGGGGTGAGGAGACATCAAGGGATCAGAGGTATATTGCGTGAATCATTAGTGGTTTACTGCACCCTGATTGACTAATCCCCTCCCTGCAACCCGTCTGTGGGGGGATGTTCCGTGTCCACAGATGGGCTCTAGTCTCCACTCCAATCCCCCTCCATTCTCATCACTGCATTTTTGTTTGTTTGTTTGTTTACTGTTTGTTGTGAATTATCTGATGCCCATTGCCCAGTCTTGATGACACCTCATGATTGCATCAGCTGGTGTGCTTTTTCCATGTAGACTTGTTGCTTCACTGTTGGATGGCCCTTGTTTAACTTCAAGCCTTTAAGACCCCAGACACTTTTAATAGCCGGGCACCATCCTCTGTCTTCACCATATCTGCTTAAGCACCCATTTTGTCTTCAGCGATCATATGGGAGGGAGGGGGATGAGCATCACAGAATGCCAAATTGTTCTTGAATTGAGGGAAGATATGAGCCGGGGCCCAAGTCCTGTCTGCAGCCTGTGTATTGCCTTATAAATATATGCACATAGGCCAATACCTCTATTATGGATTAATGTATTTACATATGTGCACACCTCTGTTAATCTCCCTATCCATGCCTTCACAGTATAGAAATCCTATGTACTGACTCTATTTAGGGTTATTATGCTTTTGTTCGAATATTTTTAATGATTGGAATTTTCTGTTTTATAAAGTAGCCTAATCCACTACATAGAGTAGAGATTGATGTTAAGGATTGGAGAAATTGAGATCGTGTTTCATTGAGAGATCAGGATTCATATTCTGCTTTTTTGGCTCTTTATCTTCTCTCCATATCTCTTTTGCCAATATGTTAGGTTGTTGTAGAAAAAAGGCCAGGAAATCACCATTAGTTTGAAAGCCAACTATGTACATGTTGGGGAAACCAAAGAAAAGCAAACACCAAGAAAGTGATAATATTGATGATAAATCTTGCAAAGTCAATAGACTATAGTTATAAAATATAGTTAGGTTTGGACCAAAAGACTTCAGTGATTCTTTTCATTATGTTATTGTATATTTTACAAACCTATAGCGGGAATATAGTTTTAGCAATATAGCTTTGAAAACTAATGCTGATATGATAGTAGAATAAAATTAGGACAATGGTAGCAGAGGCCAATACTTCATTAAAAACTAAAATTTCTGAAAACAAAAATCGAGCTAGTTCAATTTTTTATTGCAGGGGAATTTGAATCTTATGTTTGAATGTGTTAGTAAATCTATGTGTTTTGTCTTTCCTTTTTTTTCAGGTTGCAATGGGTCAGGGGCAAGCTGACTTAGCAATTCAAATGTTAAAAGAATGTGCTCGCAATGGAGATTGGCTCTGTTTGAAGAACTTACATCTTGTAGTATCTTGGCTGCCTGTTCTTGAAAAGGTAGATACAGATAAATATGATACACATGATATGTAATATATTCAATTCAGTAATCTCCAAGTCTCATCAGTATTAAAATATGTTATGTATTATACTCTTAAAAAATTAGTACTTGATGAGAAATCGTTTTAACTCTGTGAAATACTTTTTTCCCCCTTAAAGGTCTGTTTGCATACATTTATGCAAAACAAGATGAGTTTTTTGATAGGTATCTATAAAATAGGAATGTATATGCCTATTATAAAATTCAGGAACATATAGACGTTTGCCTGCCCTGGAAAAGCTTCCAAGCAAAGCTGTGTGGGAAACTAGCCTTAGAGGGCTAGGAAAGGCTAGGAAATAGCATATCCTGTGTACCCTTTTGTCCTGGGACTTAGGGAGCCAGGAGAGATCATTACCAAGGAAGTTAGAAGTAATTAATGATGTTACACTGATAGGAGAAATATATAATGAAAACGTTAAGAATATAGAATATAAGTGAAGTGAGTAGAGTGGATTGAAGGAGTCTTTAGTCAAATTGTAAGTTGTTGAAAATGTGTGTGTTACTACTCAACTGACATTCAATAAATCTTTGATAAATGAGTTAATGACCCTACACAAGGTTTTTAAAACTACTAATTCTTTCCTGGAGCAGATAGCTTCATCTTGTTCCTAAAGAGGGTGGGTTTGAACCTCCAAGCTTATAACTAACAGGCCAAGCGTGTCCCACAGTGATGCTAGGGCTCCTTAGTAATGATGCACATGCGTACACACAGAATCAGTGAATGAAGCACACACACTGTAAGGGGGGGATAGATGCTTTTATATTACGAACTTTGAATGTAAATGATAGACAGTAGGAATCTAAAAAGTGTCATTAAGGGAACTGATTGTATTATTTGACTTGTGGCGACATGAGTAGAAGTAGAGAACCTGGAGGCCTAAAGTTTGATAGTTTAGGAATAGCAATTATTGCTAGCATTGTTGTAGTGCTTACTGTCAACACTCGTTTAAGTGCTTTACAGCCAGCTTTCAACATCAGACCAAGGTCGGCTAGCTTCAGTCCACAGTTCTGTAAAGGAGAGCCGGAGCCGTTCTGTTCTGACCTATAGAGTCACTGTGAGTGGAGTTGACTTGATGGCAATAGGTTTATAGTTTGGATATGAAGAAGGCATTGCTTTAGCCTTACTTAGAGTTGGTTTAAACCATAGAGCCCAAGGTCACACCAAAAATAAGTGGTGAAATTTGAATTTCAACCAAGTCAGCCTGATTCCCATGTTGTTATCAATTACAGTAAGCTAGTCATTACAGTCATACAGTAGAGAAGATAAAACCACTAGGGAATACAGCTGGATAGCAAGACATTTAGCAACATGTCAAAAATAGATTTGTTAAGAAAAATTAGTTCATTACTAATAGAGTGATAAAATGATTTTTTTCCCGCTTATATGTGTAAGTAAAATTTTCTATTGTTTTTTAAACAAGGAATTGAATACTCTTCAGCCTAAAAATACCTTTCGTCTGTGGCTCACTGCAGAAGTTCATCCTAACTTTACTCCTATTTTACTCCAGTCAAGTTTGAAGATAACATATGAGGTAAGAAGGGTCCCCGGTTCAGTGAGCACAGTAATCTACACATGCCTTATGGAGTTCTAAGAGCATAAATCTAGACAAAAAGGACCTTTCACTTTTACATGATATATAATGTATAAAATAATAAAATAAAAATATATTTTTAACAATGCATTTAAATGTATAAAAAGTTTTCTTCTTGTAATTTGTTTTTTCACATTACCATATTAAATTTCCAGTGATTGCTCTCCCTTCTATGCATTTATACATCCGTCCATCCATCCATTCATCCTTATACCCGTGTACATGTAATACTAGACAGATAATCCCCTAATTTGATTTATTCAAAGTGATATATCATGTGATGCTATTATAAACTTATCAAATTCATTTAATTATTTTAACATTTTAAATCTAGTAAAAGGGTGTTATGTTTATGTTGTTCCTCAATTTGCAGCAACTTCCATGTTTTATATAATATCCATAGTAAAAAAGTTTAATTATCCTAGTGTTTGTAATTACCACTTTTTGTAGACGAGCAGTATTTTAGATCAGTAATTCTACTCTTATTTTTCATATGAAGGTGTTAATCTTATTTAAGGAAGAAGAGGGATTAGAATCAATCTAAGAATATAAAAATAATTTATATCATTGAAGGGATACCATTATAATCTCAAGTAAGAGAGAAAGAATTTTTCCTGAATCTTTCCAGTATTCTTCTACACACCCTTTGACTGAAATATATTCTCGAATTAAATGGTATAAGCCAGGAGAATGAGGATTATTTTTGAATCTTTTTTGTAACTAACATGTGATATTTTACATTTAGGAGATAGTAAATAAATATTTTAAAAAATGAGGAGTTAATATATCAGGGGAACTGATCTTTAGATGCTTTAAGGGGAATATGGGCAACCTTATCCAGCTGCCTTTGGAAGATAATTAGATTACATGGTAATGGAAAGTCTTCTGTTTGGTTTTAATTATTGTTAAATTTACGTTTAATTTATTCTTGAATAAATGTAGATAATTTTAACGATCCTAGGAAATAGTTCAGTTCTAGTTGTGAAGAAATATTATACTTTTCATGAGGAAATATTTATATGTATATCCAAAAAGCCAATCCATTGCCATCAAATCAATTATGATTCATAGGGACCCTATATAGGGGTTCTGAGGCTTTAAATCTTTACAGGGGCATATAGTCTCATCTTTCTCCTAGGTATATGTATTAGGTGTGTACACACACCTATATATGTATACATTTAAAGCTTGTTAAATTTTCATTTCAGAATTTTCTTTTTGAAAAGTAAAGAAAATAATTTTGTCTACAAATAATGTCATGTAATAAGTAATGCATTAATAATTATAAATTTACCTTTTTCTTATTTAGCTAAGTATATTTTCACTCACTGAGTTTTCTGCTTTTTTAACTTTTCTTCCTACAAAAAATTGGGATATAAGTAGATGAGCATTTGAAAATATTTTACTTACTTTCTTGCTGAGACGATACACAACAAACCACATACCAAACAGTTCCTACAAGGACCATTTAATTCTGATTTCCCCATATGCACTCCAGCATTTATTTTCTTTAGGTTACTTGTTATTGTTTACCTTAGCCAGAGGTATGGCATGTGGGTTTGATTTGCATCTCTCTGATGGCTGATGCTGCTGAGCGCCATTTCATTCGTTTGGCGATTTTTGGACATCCTCTTTGGTGCAATGTCTTTACAATATCCTTTGCCTGTTCTATGAGTTATTTGTCTCTTTGTTGATTAAACTGTCAAAGCTTTTTGCTTATTTTAGCTATAAGATCTTTGTCATGTCATGGGTTCTAAGATAGTCTTTGTCATTTTCATGGAAGATAGACAAACATTTTTAAAACTTTATGAGGACCCATTTGTTAATTTTGCGTGTTGCTGTTTGGTCTTTTGTAATTGTATTGGTTAACCTATGGTTACGAGCTGGGCCTGACAAAATGATCTCCACTTTTTTGTCTAAAAACGGTATAGTTTTAGTTTGTACATTTGGATCTCTAATCCATTGTGAATTTTTTTGTGTGCGTGGATAGTGTCAGGTATTAGTCCTATTCATTTTTCTGCAAGAGAAACCAACCCTATTTTCCCAACACCATTTGCTGAAGAGAATATTTTTTCCCCTTTGAATGGACCTAGCACTCTTCTCAAAAAAATCAGTTGAGCATTTCTTGACCGAGTACTAGTTGAATTCCTAATTTCAATTTCTGGGCATATATTTGTGTTTATTACATAAAAACGTCAGGTAGTACGAGTTAGTAATGCAAGCAATTAATGCAAGGAATGTCAATAGCTTTAGGCCAATGATAATTTGAAGTCATGAGGATGGAAGTTGAAACAGAAACTGGTGAGGGAAAGCTGGCCTATTAACCTCGAAATCCATGTCACAGCTGGGTTGTATAATGGGATTTCAAAATTCCATGGAACAATCATGAAAATGCTCCATGAGCTACTCAAAGTCACCTTGTGTATGACGTTTTCATTGTCATACAGGTGGGTAAAGAGCTTGACTGTTCACTGAAAGGTCAGCGCTGTAAACCCACCACTCGTCCACAGAAGAAAGGTGGGGCATTCTGCTTCGGTCAAGATTCACAGCCTAAGGGGGTCAAGATTCACAGCCTAAGGGGACTTTTCTTCTCTCCCACAGCATTGCTACAAGTCACTATTGACTGAATGGCCTTTGCTATTGGTATAGTATCTCAGTGATCACAAAATTTACAGGTTATTTTGAGTTTATCAACTGTATAGATGGAATTAAAATGTTTATTTTGGATTTGTAATGGAAGTGAAATGGTAGGTTAAAGAATTTAAAGCTAGCTTGTACACTTTTAACATATTAATGTGCTAGTTTCAATCAAACTTGAGAAGCATTGTAATTTTCTTCATTAAAATCTTTTCTTAAATATGGTATAGTGATCTATCTTAAGATTTTTAACAATACGCTCTTTGCTATTATTTTGTTCGTTTTTCTACAGTCTCCTCCAGGTTTGAAGAAGAATTTAATGCGTACTTATGAATCTTGGACCCCTGAACAAATTAACAAAAAAGAGAATGCACACCGAGCGAATGCTCTCTTCAGTTTCGCATGGTTTCATGCTGCATGTCAAGAAAGGAGAAATTATATTCCACAGGTAAAACCATATCTTTGGTTTATTCCAAATGTTGCATATAGTTTTATATTAGGATATTATTATAATATAGCACTCTTAGCTAGTCATTGGTGATTGGAATGCAAAAATTGAAAACAAAGAAGGAACAGTAGTTGGAAAATATGGACTTGGTGATAGAAGTGAAGCAGGAGGTCGCATGACCAATGACTTGTTCAAAGCAAATAACCTTTTCTCAGCAACACAAAAGGGGAATATACACATGGACTTCTCCTATAGAATACACTGAAATCAAATCACTACATCTGTGGGGAGACATTATGGAGAAGCTCAATATCAGCAACTACAATCAGATCGGGGTCGACTGTGGAATATACTATCAATTTCTCATATGTAAATCCATGAAAAAGCTGAAGAAAATGAAAGAAATCCGCAAGAGTCAAGTTATGACCTTGATTCCATCCCTCCAGAATTTTGAGAACACCTGGAAAACAGATTTGACACACTGAGCACTGACGGCAGAAGACCTGATGAGCTGTGAGAGGATGGACAGCAAGCGCGTCATTCATGAAGAAGGCAAAAGTCAATAAAAGACAGGCAAGAAAGACACGATCCAAGGGCATGTCAGGAGAGCTGACTCGGTGGCACCAGACAACACTGCCAGCTGAGCGTTCCCTAGTGTTACAAAGGGTTAAGTACTACACACCAAAAAGTTACCTTTTCAGGTTCACCCAGGGACACCTTGCATTTAGGCCTGGTAATTGCTCTAAAAACCTTGAAAATGATATCGGATGCAGTTCAGTTCTGCGTATGTGGAATTGCTGTGGGTTAGAATGGACTTGATGAATGCTAACGACAATGATCACAATTTATAGCTAGAATTGTTTCTCAGTTTGGTTCTTAAGTATTGGTAATCAAGTATTGGAATATAAATTTTTCAAGAGCACAGATTGTTCCATTTGTTTATTGCTGTTTACTTATTAATCAAAGTATTTTCTCATCTCTAGCTGGAATTCAATAAGATTTTGTATTTTGCTTGTGTCTGATGATCTTGGGTACCTTCCCAGTCATATATATATTTTTTCACTTATTGTGAAATTACTCCATCATCCATTTGAATAAGGCAAAAGTTTACAATTAATACATATCATACTTCTTTTTGATATCATTATCATCCCTTACAATCTAATACTAACTTTAGTCTCAGTATTTCTCAAATATATCTGAGACTCCCATCTGGATGTAGTTAACCTCCCCTCTTATATTACATCTTATCTTTTATTCATATCAGGTATGTTTCTTTCCTTAAATATGTTGTCTTTTTAGTGTCTTGTTTATAGTTTAAGTAATTGAGTTTTTTTCCTATCAGCTACTTTCCCTTCTCATTACACTGAAAGGTACAAGGGGACAGGAATTATTTCTACTTTGGTTTATACTTAAATTTCCATTGCCTAACATATATGTTTAACAAACATTTTGATTGGAAAATTAATGAGTGAATTTATATATATAACACATATATATATATATATTCCCAAATACTCTTCAAATTAAGTTTATTTTAGTTTGAACATATTTTATTGCACAGAACTAATTATTTCCAGTGGTAAAAGTTCATAGAAATTGTTTTCTATTATGTTTCACGTTATTTTCTGCACAATATAGAGATCCGTTAATCTTCCTTTTACATTGACATTGTAGGTCTTATCTATAGTTTTATAATTTCATTTGTAGGACAAATGTACAGAAAACAGTTCAATAACTTTTGTGTATTCCCTGCCCTCACCGCCCCCCTCTGTATTTCTATTTTCATGCTAGTGAAGCAAATCCATAATTTTGAATAATAAAAGTACAGGAAAAAAGTTCTATATAGGATATGTACATAGTATACAGGATAAAAAACTTACTATACTGACTTTTTAGTGTAAGTTTAAT